CTCCCGGCTCCAGCTAGAAATTTGGTTCGACTCATTGAAAAGACGAACAAGAAGATTGTAAATAAAAAGCATGCTCTGGTCTTCAATCAAACTTGCATAAAAGAGAAGCTTTTGCCGAACTACACCAATATATATATATATAGTGTTATTATATTGGCTTATGGAGAACTTGAGTAAAATGTAACTAGAATTCGATGCCTCCGCTTAGAATCGCGCTTAGTAGATATGGTATGGATAACAGAAGAGGATTGGATGAAAAGTGGGTGTAAAGTAGTGAGGATAAGGACTTATCTTCATGATAAGTACTTATCTGCATGAAAAGTGACTTATCTGTCCAAACAATGGACGGCAGTTGATAGCAAACTTAACAAGTAGAAATTAAGACTGAAAAAGGATAAAACCGAACAACAATCATTACAAAAGTGTTTAGTGATTAGCATTGACTCCCGTACGCAAGTAGCCTTCAGATGGGTGGGTGCATCATGTATATCAGCCGTCCAAGGATTCAAACTTTCAAGGATTCAAATGATACAAATAATTATGTTTACATTTTTTTATAATATAGAAGCCAAGTTACTGCTATTGAGGAGTCAGATCATCAACGAGGGAACTTTTTCTATGGAATAGACATTTGCAGTTAATGTTAACAATGTATTATATTAACATTTATCACAATAATAATAAAATTTATCATGGAATACAGAGTGTCTGTACTGGACTTGCAAGTCCGGTAGAGGGATTTTCTTTCAAAATATAAACTACCTATAAACCAATGAAAAAACACTTGTTAAAAAGTTCAGCGATTTAAAATTGTTAGTCAATTATGGTTAATGGTTTTGGTTAAGGTTGTGATTGATGGTTATGGTTAATTTCTATGATAAATGGTTAAATTAATTGTTATGGTTAATGGTTATGATTAATGGTTAATGGTTATTATGGTTAATTAACCAGTTAATTATGAAGCTCAATACCTGTAGCAGTTTGTATCATTGAATTATTTGTTTAGAATTATTGATAAGAAAATGTGTAAGTAAAATAAATTTAGTTGAAAAATAGTGTTTTTAAAGCGCATATTATATGTTTTCTTCTAATCATAAACTGAGCTTCAGCGTCGTGGAAATGGAGGTTAGTGAAGAATTTTGAAGAATAAAAACGAACTCAGATAATTTTCCTTGAAAAAAATTGCCAACATTTGGAACCGATATTTTCGTTGGAGCAACACAATGCATCAAAACAAAAATATCATGTAAATTTATTTAAAACTTTTACTACAGCATATCATCGGAAAAAACTGCAAGCTACAGCTGCTGCTGTTACTGATGCTTGTTTCGTCAGCGGCTGCTGTCCCGTTCGACAGCATCGATTAGAGTTAGTTTATGAATATGCACACTGTGAATTATTACTTATTACTTAAAGTTACTCTCCTCCTACAATATTCACTTTTATTCAAAATACGTAATTAGTCTTACGCAAAATTTCCTAGCCAATCGTTGCATGATTAGAAAGCCGACCCAAAATTAAAAACGATCATATGTATAATTTACCCATATTATTGAGAAAACCATTAATTAAAAACCTACTTAGAAACATTTTCAATAAAATATAAATATACATTTAAATTTATTTGTTTAATATTTGTAGTTGCATATATTATTAAATATAATATTTAAAAATAATATGAATATTTCACTTTCGCTTCTATAGCACTCGCCTCCCACTATTCGATACTCCTAAAATAATCTCTACAATATCAGCAGTTACTTGACTATTCAACTAGTGCAGCAGACTAAACTTACCAATTCATGCAGCATTTCTTACAACACTTCTCTTTAACTTCACTTCTTGTTGTTTGTTTGTCTGTCTGCTACAAATCTTATAATTGATATTTAATGCACTTCTACATGTCCAATCGATCCAAAATTTTGACTACTTGCGCAAAGTTGGAGACAATGCATAAATCAATTGACAGAATAAATAATGTAAAAAATAAATTATATATATATATTAAAAATAAGTTGGAAAATATTTTTTGAAATATTTAAATCTAAAATTAGAAATTCACTGTACATGTGTAAGATCGGAGACACTGGCCCCTTTAGAAGCGTTTTCTTAAAAAAGGAATTTTTAAACGCACATTATTACATTGATATTTCTGAAGTAAGCCCTACTGTACCATCACAGTTGAGACTGTAAAGTTACTCGGCAACTGCAGTGAAGATCAGTTCGAGTGTGCAAACAACCATCGCTGCATCAGCAAATTTTGGCTGTGCGATGACTTCAACGACTGCGGCGACTACAGCGACGAGCTAAACTGTCAGGAGGAGAAGCGAATGTTGAAACAAAATTTTTTTCACATTCACCGATTGTTAACTGATTTTCGAACTATTTGGTACTAGCAGAATTAAATATTATGCTCAACTGTACGTGCATAAAATCAAAGATCGAAACAGAATTTTCTGTCAGTCGAGAGCTGCATTTTGGTGTTAAAAAATATATGAGAATGCATGGCATTAGCTGCCTAAAATGTTTCGATTTTCTAAATCAACATTTATTTACAACTTGAGTTTAATTATGTCAGGTAACTGTACATCGGAACAGTTCAAATGCGACAACGGCATATGCATGTACAATTGGAATCGATGTGACGGGTACAATCAATGCGGGGATTTCAGTGACGAACGAAACTGTAAGTGATGAAAGTTTAAACTTCGCTAGCTATCCAAAAAAAATGAAAATGAAAATTGCTGCATCTTTTATCTAGTTATATGCGAAGGCATTGAAATAAAATTTCGAATTTCAAATGAAAATTTATTCCTGTTTCAACTTTTTCACACCTCTATGAGAATAAGTCAGTTTCAATCACCGATAACATTTTAAAATCTAACCATCATTTCATGCTTGCCAGGTAATTGCAGCGCGGACCAGTTTACTTGCCCGGACTCCGGCATGTGCATTTTTGGAGGGAGCGTCTGCGATGGCTTCAACACTTGCGGCGATTACAGTGACGAGAAAAACTGTGAGTGATTATCATTGTTAATTACAGTGACGAGAATAGCTGTGAAAGATTGCTTGCAAGTGATAGTTTAACTAAGGTACATGAATTATACGGCTTCTATTATTTTCCACCGAATAAACATTCAAATTTTCATAAATCTGATTTTTTCCTAAACTATGGTGTGGCACGAGAATTTAAATCCCAAATATTTGCCCTAATGTCCCTAAATATGTGATCAGAACCAATTTTGACATGAGGTATATGACTATAGGTTTGGACCGATAAAGCTTACGTATAATGATAAAATATGATTTGTGATATATAAAATTTCTCAAGAAATCAGAATTCAGAGCGAAAACACATTTCAAAGGTTATAATTTACTATTGGGAAAAATAACACAGAATCAGTAAAAAAGTACATACGTCATTTGCTTTTAGTGGAAACTCAATTAATTTTATTCAACTTGAATTATTTTCTCCACTTTTACATTGATTCTCTGCAGAGGAACCTGGGTCCCCAAATTTTGATTTTCACTCTGGCTTTAACTTTATTTAATTATTTTCATTTTATCACTGATAGGCAACTGCACTTCGGACCAGTTTGAGTGTGTAAGCTCCGGCATGTGCGTTAACCAATTCAGTGTGTGCGATGGGCGCGATAACTGCGGCGACTACAGCGACGAGCAAAACTGTACGTACTCCTATAATGAATGGCAGTGAATGAAATTTTGTGCGTACGAATATTTTAACAAGTTGAATGGAAGGTTTCCGTACGTAAAAAAAGATTGAAGCAATTGACTGCTGGTAGAAGATTCTAGAACATTAGGTATAGAGTGGAGAGAGACAAGTGGAGTTGTCTGAGTCATTTGGCTATCCTATAGATATTTGAATTTGAGTACGTTGTTGGTTAGAAGACATGATTAACACATGACATACAGAATATAAGGTGAAATCGAACAAAGTGTAAAATTTTAAATTGAATTATTATTGGATTATTGGATTGGATTACAAAGTTGAGTGCAAGAGTAGAAAGTTGAAAGTGGGGACTATTTACTTCATGCGTGAAAACTAGGATTTTGAAAAAAAACCTACACGATTCTATAAATTTCTTATTGTATAAACTATAAAGCAACTATTAGCTTTTTATGTTATTACAGCCCCTGGCATCTACGCGAATTTAATAGGCGTTTTCAATTGCCACTGATTGCTCCATTATTTTATGAAGCTAAAATTGTTATCAATCGCCACTGATTGCTCCATTATTTTATGAAGCTAAAATTTGATTTTATGCACTTTTCCCAGGCAACTGCACAGAGCGGTTTGTTTGTGTGAACAACGGCATGTGCATCGATAGTTGGAGAGTATGCGATGGTGTCAACGACTGCAGCGACTATAGTGACGAACATGAATGTGAGGAAATAAAATCATCGTGTTGAATGACTGAGTCAAGAAAAGGTCGATCTGAAAGGTTTTTGATCGATTAAATTTAATATAAAGAGCATTGTGACTCCGCAAGTATGATTTTCTTGGCTTGGCTCTAATGTAGAATCACGTAAAGTAAATGTCCATTTTCGTATTGAAATATTCAACGTTTTCAATTAAAATAATGTAATTTCTCTATCCAGGTAACTGCACCGCTGACCAGTTTGCGTGTGAAGATAGCGGCATGTGCGTTGGTTTAGAATACGTGTGCGACCGATACTTAAACTGCGGGGACGGCAGCGACGAATTCAATTGCACAGGTTGGAAATGCACATTTTCTTGAGTCGATTTGTCTAGCTTACAGGAATTGTTTACGGACGATGCATATGCAAGATTATCATTTCTCCTTACGCTTATAAGTCGAGTCTACAATAAACTTTTGTATATTTACTTGTGTTCTCCAATCAATGAGTTTATGCTTGAATTTATGGAAAATTCGGGCCTTCGGTAGGCTTGGTGAATTTAAGTTGTATTCCAGGAGGCAATATGAATAGTGTAATCTCTACATATGTAGTTAACAGTACATATATTCTCTTTCAGGTCCCTGCACCAACGTTGAGGTTTTGTGCATGAGCGGCGACCATTGTATAAATAAACAGGGTGTGTGCGACGGTTACAACGACTGTGGCGACTTTAGTGATGAGCAGAACTGTGAGTGTTGGCGGGTATGGCAGCCAAACTATAAATGAAAAATAACTTTGACGTAGTCAATTTACTTTGCAGTCATGAATTCAGGAATACAGTTTACTATTCAAAATGAATGTAAATAGACTGTATGGATATACTTAGGTAATAAACTTCATTGTAAATGTTTGGTAGAATCAATCACGAGTTTCTCATAGGTTCTCGTTCTACTTATAATAAATATTATAGAGGTCTCTTCGAGAAATTACTCTGTAATGTTCAACGCTAAGTTACTTATTCTATTATAAAAATATAACTCAGTACTCACTGCAGTGATTGACAGATAGCGCATTTTCTCGTCGACGAAAACATGAAGTCACGGACTGACAGACAGACAAACAGACGGACGGACATGACAAGCACAATAGGGTATTTTTCCCATAAATAAGAAAATGCGCTAAAAAGATGGTGCTTTGCAGCAAAAACTGGATTCTCATCGTCCAAATCTCAAGAAACATATATAATCACGATTCAGTTAGCAAATAATTCTGCGTTGCGGTCATTTAACATCATGTACAATTTACATGTATTTACGTGGTTTTATTTTTAAACATGATTCAAAAAGCAATGAACAATAATCTCTGCCAGGCAACTGCACCGAGAAATTCGTGTGCCACGACAGCGGCATGTGCATTGCAAAGGAGAGCGTGTGCGATGGCTACAGCCAATGCGGCGACTATAGTGATGAGAGAGACTGTGAGTGATAAATTCAATTTTGAAAGCTATTATCTTTAAATATTTATTTTATTTTATTTATTTCTGGTTCTATTTTATTCGCCAAACCTCCCAAGTTTTCATTCTCCGACCACTGGTATAATTTGGAAAATGTAATTCAGTTCATATTAAATAAAGAGACCGGGTTTTTGGACCACGATACCAACACAGACTAGAAAAGCACAATGTAAATACATTCTTTGACATACTTCATTGATGCCGATTCATGGCTGATTTTAACATTAAGGCGTATGTGGCGTCTCTGATCTGCCTATTAAAAAGATCAAAATTTTTATTGGAGCGTGCAGGTCACCTCAATCCTATACAGCTTTCCTTACCTTCAACGAAACTCCACTTATTTCTTTAACGTGTTCTTTGCTTTATGTTTTTGGTGAATTTGCCATTTAATGTAACTAATACATTTTTCCTACATCATCTATGACAAACATGGGATGGATACCATGGAATAAACATGTGATGAATATCATCTAAATTTGCTTATTACGTTCGGATGTATAGAGATTGAACAGAGTTCAGACTTAATTTTTTCATAACGCTGGGTAACGGAAAAACATCTGAAATTGAACGTGAGTTTTCATTTTATGCTTTATATTCCAACGTTCATTATGAGAATTGACCTATTCTTCTGAATTCAGCATTAACAAATAATATGGGCATAAAGAGACATGTAAGTGACTCAATATGTAATTTCAATGGTGGAAACTGTATTTCTGAATCATTATCATTAAGGTCAAGTTGATGTTAGTAAATCCTAATGTAAATCAACATTATTGATATAAATGTATCTGTACTACCTAGGTAACTGCACCACATACCAGTTCCAGTGTGGCAACGGCATGTGCGTTTCACAACTTTATTTGTGCGACGGCTACGACGCCTGTGGTGACGGCAGTGACGAACAAAACTGCCCGACTCTTCTTCCAGGTATGGTTTTTCAATACTCTTAATAATTTTCCCGCTGTTATAATTTGACATGAAGGTTTATATAATAAATTCTGGTGAAATCTTCATTGGCACAGTGGTGACAGTTCAGAGTAAAAGGATTGCAGCAGTGCGTTGCCAGTTCCTGTGACCGTTATTGTGACCATCTAAGATTTCTGTACTGACCGTTATTGCCAAAGCAGCAAGGCTGAAGGGTGGTCGAGAATAGCGAGATTGGAACAGTGAGTTGCGGGTTCTAAAACCCAGCAAGGTGGAAGAATTCTGCAATTTCAAGAATCGGCTATAGGCTAAATTCAGCCTCTGCAGCGCAGACACCAATATTGTTATTAGTAAAAATCTTCTTCACATTACATTGATCGAAACATCTATAAACGTGCAGGTGAATGCTATCCGTGGCTGTTCAATTGCGAGAACGAAGACAGATGCATTCCAGCAGAATGGGTGTGTTATGGTGACAACGATTGTGGAAACCGCGCCGATGAAGAAAATTGTGAGTTCTTATTGCATTCAAGTGGAAATGTTGCATTTTAATAAATATTAAATATGGGCAGAGAAGTTTTGATCATTCCAGTTACTCATTGGGTTAGGTGATCATACCACTTACTCATTTATATTATCATACAATATTACCGCCTAATAATCAAATGCTGCATTAAACTTACAAATGCACACAAACCCTATCAAAATAAATACTGAGTTAATAAGAATAACATTATTATAACACTTCCTTGGCCAGGTACATGCACCTCGGAGCAGTTCGAGTGTATTGAATTTTGGTACAATTGGAAATTAAAGAACAAAGAAAGCGTTGAAACTTTTATTGTTGTAGTTCCGAAAAGAGAATAGGTTCGCAGTACGAAGCCAGGAGGTAATGAAAAGCACGAAGTGCGATGAGAAACTCGTGCACTGTAGAAGAATAAGTTCTCACATAAGTACAAGTTCGAACGATAGGAGTTCAGAACACAATATTTAATTTCAGTTGAAATAGTCACTTTTTCAGGGTGAATATGTCTCTCTCTCCAATTCTCACCATATATTGCCGGTGGCAACAGAACGTAATAATGAAGCAAGTAGTTCAGCTCAAAAAAAAAACAGAAACGGCAGAGTCGAAGACCAAGTGGAGGCGGTTATAGGTGGATTCTTATCTGAATAAGACAGAAAACCAACGTAAGACTAACATTAATGGATTCAAAGTTATACCGCAATGGATTTCAGTATGATTCAAGAATAATATAAATTCAGAATAATGATAACAGTTTCAAATAATCAAAATGACAAACCTATTTGTTTCCGTTGAGGAACCCTAGACAAGAGTTCTCATGTAGAGAACTATTAGAATGAAAATAGTGAAAACAGTATAAGGAGTGTTCGCTCGTACTTAAAGAGAGTAAAGCGCATGCAAGCATGCAGTTAATTCACAGCACTGGGCATGTGACATATAATCGGTATACACCGAAGCTCCAAGGAGCCAATAACCCAACGGGTTCCAAGCACTGGCGTAAAGCCGGTTAAGCAAGATCTTAATTAAACGAGCGAAACACAGAAGTTCTAACATGCATTTAAATGGAACAAAATAAAATGAAAACACACTCGCACAAACTCAAATTAAGTAACAGATAAGCAAGAGTTAACAAAAGTAATAATACTGTTTGAGCAAGAGGTCTACACTCCGGTAAGGTTAAAGCAATAGTCCTTAAGATCGAGCTAACGAGCGTCGACTTTGCCTCCTAACACGAGACAAACGATAAGCGTATAAACATTAACGAGTTAATTAGTCATAAATTTTAACAAGTGCGACAACGGCTACTGCCTACGGCCGTGGTTGAGATGCAACGGCTACAACGAGTGTGGCGACTTTAGTGACGAGCAGAACTGTGGGTGACGTTTATGTGGGAAATATGGTTAAGGATCAAAACAAAAGAGTGTAAATTTTTAGAACAAAGGCCATTAAATACTAAAATAAACTCAATATCAGTCAAATTGATAAGAGATTTAATGGCTCTCATATGTAAAGACATGCTCGTATAAAATACTGTAAAGGGGAAGATGACGAATCTAATAATGCATTGAGTCTTCCGATATTTTTTGTGCGATTTGATAGATTCAATCCTAATGAATGCCTTATTTTATTGTGCTATGTTAATTAGGTGCAAATAAATTGGATACAGTTCATGAAATTGCGAACAATAATGTCACATTAAAATTGAGTAATTTTTCACATGCGGTTGTTAATGACGCAAGTTGACACATTACGATTATCAAACATGTCCCGCAAGGATGAAAGACTTGAGTTCAACATATTTCAACATCATACAATATACTGTAATTCATTCCATATTCAACATACATTGAAGAAGTTACTTGAGTTCAACATGCTTCAGTTATAAACTTATTCTGGGCTCGAAAAAATTTCTCGTGTATGACGTACTCGTTTCAAATAAATCCTACATGACGCAAGGTTGCAGCTGGAATAAAAGATGATTATTTGAGGTTCGAAAATTTTGTGGCATTACCTTAGTTACTCACAGTGGTATCATTGGAGGAGCAGGAGGCATGTCAAGATTTTTGCATGATTTTCCCACCACTTAATTTCTATCTCGATCTTTGGGAACTCCCCGTACCACGGCCAGCCAGATTTTGGATCTCTAAAACAATTTTAACGCTTATTGCAGCAATGTAGAAGGTAAAGCTGTCTACTTGATGGTCATGAAAAAATTATGCTGTGCCAACTCCGCAATTGAAATTATGGATATAAGGACCCAAACATAATCCCTCTCTTGACCGTCCCTTTTGACATTATTCTTTTCATTTCCCCTGCTTAAGGAATTGAAAAGAATGTCAATCACTACTTCAAGATCAATAATTTAACCTATCTGATTTGAGATCATTATATTCTCTTAATGTCCTCTTCAGGGGTAGATGACTGATCTAATATAGCATTGAATCTTACTTTCAGGCAACTGCACGGCAGACCAGTTTGTGTGCGAGGTCAGCGGGATGTGCCTGAACGCGTGGAGTTTGTGCGACGAAGTTGACGACTGCGGCGATAAGGATGGCGGGGGAGTGAAGGATGGCGGGGGAGTGAAGGATGGCGGGGGAATGAAGGATGGCGTTGAAATATAGGAGGGCGTGGATATGAAGGATGGAAATTAAAAAACGATGGCGTGGAAATGAAAGATGAGGTGGAAATAAAAGCGTTCCCCGTGGGGGGAGAGCGCAAACGTTTTATCGAGGAGCCTCCTATATATCTTTCAAAAAATATTGTAGGTGTATACTTATCAGCAATTGAAGACATGTGAATATTAATTAGCATCATAACATGATAAAAATATTTGATTTGCGACAGATTTACAAGGGACATGACGCGACCATCTCTTTGAAATATTTATTTTTATAATCAGCGTGCACGAGTTAGATTAAATAACTGGAGAAATATATGCATTAAATTCCTGATTTGTCTGTATGAAAACCCTCAGTTTTTCAGTAATTATAATTATATGCAAATAATCTGTTGAAGATTTGATGACAATTCGATGCGAAAATTCAAACTCGCTTTATGCACATTTTTTTATTGGATGGTAGGGTCATTTCATTTCATTTCTGTAAGTACATTCGTACCATTACAATTGTTTCGTTCATTATTTTAAAATATTGATCGTTGAAACAATGATTGACGTGACCATGATCCTCTTGGGCGGAAAACTTCTGGCGGACAACGCTTTTATTTTACTTCTTATTTACTTTTTTGATGATAGGATACGCGCTTTGATTATGAAGTTTTGTCCGCGACATTATCCAAACAAAAAAAAATAAATAAAAAAATTTCAAATAAATTCTCTAAAATTCCAACATTCTGTCCGCGAATTTTGAAGCAATTCTCGTCGTATAAGTGTTATTAACTCATTATGGAGAAAGTTCAACTCATTTCAATTTAGAAGCCAGGAGTTACAATGGGAAACCTTTGTTATCATGTTAAATATATATGATTCGTGTATATTGTATTATTTTCTAATTCATGCAAGTATCAAATTGTGAATAATATGCAAACATAATAATTCATACATATTATAATATTTCCTAATTCTGTCAAGTATCGAATTATAAATCATATACAAATGTATATAATTTTTGATTATAGGTATTCAGGATGACCATAAAGTAATCTTTCTATTTAACAATTTTCTTATTGCTTCTCCCGATTCTGCTGATTATACTTTTGGTTGAATATTAAAGTTCAAAAATAAGGTTTTCCAGGGACGTTTAATTTGAAGGTAATCACGCAAATTTTTCCTTGAATTTAAACAATTTCAGTCTTCAAATTTTCATTAAAAGCACGAGAAGTGAATCTTTATTTGGATTGCGGATTTCGTTATATACCTATGTAACTTATTTGTAGGTTAAGGTTTGAATTAAGTTGAAGTAAAAACTGAGAGCTAAATCGAAGATAATTAATTTATTGGATTTTGTTTTCAGATGTGATACAATCAATTTGCTCTCCATAAATCCAGTATAACCGAAATTTATTCCGAAAGATGATTGTTCCTGCAAATTTCGTACATTAAATTTTTTAGCGAAAAGTAATTCATGAATTTGAGCTTCATTTCTAACTACGGCGAGAATTTAAAACTTCGTTTCCAAAATGCTGCAGTATCTTGAAGCAACAATCTCAAGCCGGTTAGGTATCTCCGGTTTTCTTTAAGACTACATTAGTAAGTACACGCACAGCTTCTGACAGAGGGCAGCAGGCTGGTGGGCGCATTTGTCGCTACAAGTCTTAACCCCAATTATAAATAAATAAAAAAATACACCTACAGTGAGAGTAAGTGGAGGAATGGATCTGTAATTTTTATACAGTATTTCTCAAATCCAAATAGTCCACCAGGCCCAGTTTTGTTTTTTTTTTAAGAAATCGTCCTTCAACATATCACATTTATTTTTTAAAATAGGGTACTGAGACTCGTACACCGCTAAGGTCGACGTCGAGCAAAATTTCCGTGAGGCAATCGATGACTGCGATCATCATGATCCGATCACTGAAGCCGACAAGGTAGACTGGTAGACCAAACCAACAAGTCGGTCGTTGGTGTTGGTATAGTGGCAGCTTAAATTTAATTCATTCATACATATGTTAGAATTAGATAGCAGAATTTTCTTCTTGAAAAAGTTACGATTAATGATAAAAAATGCATTATATTCCAAATTTCAGGGGGTCGAAAAATTCTTCAGATTACGATAATAGATCAAAAGGCAGGTCTCAGATCAGATTAATAGACACGCAATAATGGACCCAGCAAAAAAAGCGGGAGTTCTCCAAGAAGCCGATGTAGTCTGTAGATTTTGCTACAAAGAAGGTTGTTGACTTCATCATGTGGACTACAACGGAGTAATTGGACTAACAACCACGACATCGAGACCGTCTCGCCTACCACCTACAGTCTGAAGAACAAGTGAACCCACTGAGTCAAGCTTACAAGACCGTCGCTCGCGCTGTGCTGGAGGAACCCACCAGCATCGTCATCATGCAGTGGCGCCCAATATTGACCGACCGACGATTGCTGGAACCCTCGTCTATGGGAATGTGGCTCCAGCGTCTGTTTGCAAACTCCCGAAGCTGTCTGAACTTTGAGACAGTTTTTGAAGTAATTTTCCGTTTCAAAAACGTCATCTGAAGAATTTTTTGACCCCCTAAAAATTGGAATATGATGCATTCTCTGGTCATTAATCGAAATCGTACATGGTTCAACATACATATGTATACATACATGCTCTCGGTCTCAAACGGATCAAAATATTGTACAATTTATATTACAGTGAGGAATACGTCGCAAAAAGTACAGTTGCAAGGTGATCTTGACAGTTTGGTTGACCGTCCACTGATAAGTGGCGGCTGCGTATTAATGCTGACAAATGTTAAGTAATCCACCTTGGCATGAATAAGGAACAGCAAGATTACAGCATGAGAAAAAACGATTGCAACGTCAGAGTGATGATGTCGAAGTCGTCAATGGAAAAAGATTTAACAGTTAATGTCGATAATGAGTTGAACTTTTCTAAGCATATTGAAGCTCAAGTTAATTAAGCCAATCAACGACTTGGACTGAACAGACGCTCTTACGAGTACATAGATGCAGAAGTGATGAAGCAGTTGTTTGTTGCTTTCGTGCGTCCGAACCTAGAGTTTTGTAACACAGTGTGGTCACCAAAACTAGAAAAGGACAAAAATTTAGTCGAGGGTATTCAAAGACGTGCTACAAGGATAATTCCGGGATTAAAATGCAAGGCTTTTGAAGATATTGAAGATTATGGAGCTTCGAAGCCTCCGTTATCGATGTCTGCATAGTGACCTCAATGAATATTAAAATCACTTGTTTGCTTAAATCGCAAGTTAACTAGGAATTTAAAAGCAAAAACAATACCACAAAAATTCACCATATCTTTATAAGAGAAAACGTTTCGGAGTCCAGCTCCATCGTCAGTTCACAAAATTCAGTTCAGATCTAGAAACACAAATACAATCAATTAGTAG